CACCTCGCAGCTGGCCAGGATCTTGGCACTGTGTCCATGACAGCATGACGCTGGCCCAAGCCCTGGTGACCTGGTGAAGCGCACTCTGCTGCAGGTATTGCAGCTACAGACACACTGGGTGATTTAATTCAAACATATGTCTGTACTCAGAACAGCAGGAGTAGAATTTCTTAAGAAGAAGCCCTAGAAACAGATCAGGAAAGCAAGTAAAGAGGGGAGGAAGAACTGAGATAAGAGTCCCAGTACTTCTACTCTGCGGTGTCCAGTACAGAAAGCACCCAGCCTAGCCAAAGGGAACACAGAATGCAGACAGAAGCGAGCTGTACCTCTTGGGCATGGCTAGGAGGACACAAGGTCAGGGCGGTGACAGGTTTGCTTTAATGCTGCACAGGAATCTCCAGCCTGTGGGGATGAGCAGCGAGGGGTGACGCAGGCTGATGCTCTCCGGTGTAGGCGTGATGTACAAACCGACTACTCACAGCCCAGCTTTGCACATCCATCCTTGAAGATTGGATGATTGCTCTACAGCATTTTTGTGCATTAGCTGCTGTATTAGACAAAGATAAAAAGCTCATTCTCTGTAGAGGGGAGATCCTGCACAGTGAACAGCAGCTTCTGGAGAAGTCAAACCCTCAAATTACAGCAGTCACTGCATGCCTGTAACTGCAGCTACAGGATAGGAAGCCAGCAGCTTCTACTACAAGAACCCCAACACAGTGTAACTTCAGCCAGGGGTGCTCAATCCTCCTTGGACTATGGGGGCAAGTTACTACATAGCCCAGGCATGCTAATTTCAGTTATTCAGAAATCACAGCAGGCCCCTTAGTTCCAACAGTTGACAATCCAGTTGGAGACTTGCCAGTTTTATTTAAAAAACAAAACACTAAGATCTAGCTTTCCATGGTTCTGTTAGTTTACTTCTCCTTCCCCCCAAACTGCTGACGTTTTGAATTAGTTATAAAGTCAAAGCAGCAAGAGAAAACATCAGAAAACATTTCCCTGGAAATCCTAATGCATTCTACTCAGAGACTGCAGATTCAATGAGAGGTGCCACAGATCTTCAAGTAGGTCCACAATAGCCTAATTTATGGGACAAGTCATTTTACTTGCCTGGAAAAGATCATGATGGATATGCAAGAGGGAAGAGTAATCCACATACCACAGATAGTGGTGAACAAAAGCTGAGCAATCTTTCTAGTAAGGCCTTGGGAGCACTGTGGGGCAATCATTCATCACAAGCAGGATAAACAGCTGTGCCCACTAAAGCATTCAGATTCTGATCATTCTTGAAGCTAAGGTAAGGAGAGTGGCTAGGCCAAAGTCTCCAGCAGGACCTGAAGCAGAAATTCTGGCCCACACCAGAGGCATTAAGGTCAGCACGGAATCTGGGGGTCACCAGGAAGAAAAAACAAGGCCCCTAAGAATAAAGGACTTCTCTTTCAGGATGAGCTACCCACAGATGCGAGATGGCCCTACCTCAATGAGCCCAAAGCCCTAGCACCAGAGCAGGAAAAGCAGCATGATGGGGACAGCTGACAGAGCTGCAGACCTAGCAGGGCCACGCTTCCATGCTCCCTACATACCAACAGAGCAACGGTACCAGCGGTATGCTAGGGGAGGCTGCTGGGACTCCTGGAGAACAACCAGCTCCTCGGCAGGTGGGATGGCACACACAGCGCTTTGTTGTTTCTTTCCAAGTGCAGAGCAGATGACCCAAAAGATGTTTGAGTCAACAAGCTCTTCCCAAAGTCTGCTCTGACAGGCGAGCACAACCCAGGGATGAGCTGAGGCCTCTTCCGCTCCCCCCTCCTTTTGTTTTTTAACCCCCCATCAGCTCTATTTGAATGAGAATGAATTCCACAGGGCTTGTGCCAAACCTTGACCAAACCTCAAGGGAAATTGCAAAGATGACAAAGATGAGCACAGGAAAGGAGCAGCACTCCTGAGGCACCCCAGGCTTCTGTTCAGGATGGCTGATAACCCAGAGCTCCGTACAATAAATACACTTCAGCAGGGAACAGCAACTACAGCAAAGAGGCACTAGTAGGGCAAGAAGCGTATGAGCTTGAGTACCCATGGTTGTTCAGATTCTGTATGAGCAGGCACTCCAAGAATATCTCCTTTTTACGCACAAACTTTCCTTGGCTTAGAATATCTGACACCACAGGTTACCCAAGTTCTGCAAACAAGCACATGCAGTGCCACATTAGGAGGCACACCTGAAACATATGATTTCACTGAAACACAGGGCTTATGAATACCTTAATTAAGCACAGTTTGGAATTTAAACAATTAATACCTCTTGCCTGGCTCTTCAACATTTTAGTACACAACACATACCAATATTAAAAGGAAGCATTGCCATGGTCTGTTTCTAACACACTTTAAGTAACGAGATACATGAGATGTGCACAATGTTTCCTCCTTCGCCTGCCACTAAGCATTAGGGAATCCACGTGGATGAAAGTCTTTGTGAATGACAGCCCCAGGAAACCAAACTCCAGCTCTGCTGCTCAATGAACCAGTTTTTCAGCCAGTCCCAGACTGCTAGAGGACACCGATGCTGCTTCCTTCACACCCCTCATACGTATCGCAGTTTAGCCGACTAAGTTATACTCATTACTAAGAAGTACACACACAGCAGGTTTGAAGCCTCAGCCTTCCAAATTCTGAGAACTCTTTGTATTTACGTGATCTATACAAAGGAACTACGGGAAAAGTGGGAATGAAGCAGTACTGAGAGGCACGCACTGGCTTGTCACAAGAGAGAAGTCAGACACAGCTTAGTAACTACACTTGCTTCCGTACTTAAGAAGAAAGATCCAAACAAGTCAATACCAAGTCCTTGGAACATGTGCTGCTGACAATATTGAGAATGACACCACAGCTGAAATTATACAGGTTTTACAGCAAACTAAAAAACCTCTTGGAAGCCTTTACATTAATCACAAAAGAACAATGGCACCACTACAGCTTATTAACAGAACACAGAGAACCACAGGTGGATTTTTCTGAAAAAATTAATAAAACTGAAACCATCATCATCTACTGCTAAATTTCCTATTTAGCTGAAGAAACAAAGGTGTGAGGGAAAACTCACACTGTAGAACTGTTGCCTCCACAGTTTTACATCTTCAACCAACCAATCCTATACTATAAACTTCATGAAGTCTTCGAAGTTGTGAAAGGGGGGTGATGGAATCAGCATCACCAGGACTATGTAATGCTACTATTCGTAAAAACTGGTGTTTTGAAGTCAGGTTTTCTGGAATTAGCAACACTTTTGTCAACAGGAGAACACCATCTCCACCACTGAGATCCCCAGGAACTATGGGGGACTTGTACTTAAAATCACAAACGCAATGACCGAGGTTTGGTTGGCTTTATTCACACAGATCTACCCCATGATGATCAGGAGGAAGCATAATGAACACAAAGTGGATATTGTTTAATCTTGACTACGTAATAGTATAAACACGCTGAGTATGAATATCTTGTAACTGGAATAAAGCAAAGGATCAGGATTATCAAACTCATGTAAGCTTTCAATAAACACGTGCACCTCTATAGAAACCACAGCTGGTACAGCCACATGAGCACGGATGAGCAGGCAGTGCTCCTCGTGGTACTGAACCAGAAATACAGATCTGGCCAGGGAGATGGAACATCAGAACCCAATTACTCCTCTACCAGATGCGCATAGCATGCTGAGTCCCCAGCACAGCATGGCCTATGATACTGCTGTACGGGCGATAACACAAAGTATCTGAAATCTCAGGGAAACCCTTTGAAAACAAAAAACACGTGAAAAAACTGAACTTCCCTCCATTACTCAGCAAGCAGTTTTCATAAACACCAGTATGACACTGCTAACCCTGCAAAAACTGCAAACAAAGAAGGAATGGATTTATCTTATCTTTGATTTCCCAGTAAGGTCATAATTCTGCATTTTCATATCAGTTCATATCTTTATTACAGTCCAACATTACAGCAACTTTTCTTAGAGTAAATATTCTTAGGCCCACAGAAAGTCACTGTCCAAGTGAGTGTGACCACTGCAAATCCAGTGCTCCAGCAAAAACAAATGAATTTGTCGGACAAACCCTTCAGGAGTGCTTTAGCTAGCAGCAAAAGCATTTTTAGGAGTAAATGTTTCTGTTACAGATTAAACATAGTTGCTTTGCAAGCAGTATTTAATTAGTCAAGCCAGAACATTTTACAGCTGTTGTTTTTAAATTCCCTCACAGACTGATTCTTCCATATCCTGCTCTCGACCTGCATTGTCTCCCTTCCCTTAGGCAGATAAAGGTACGCTGTGTTATTGATTAAGCAGTGCCCATCAAGAACACTTTGCTAAATGAGCACAAACAATCCCCAACGAGTCACTGAATCTTTGAAAGTGAACTAGTGAACTCAAAATATTGCCCTGTACACTGTGGAACATGCTTTATAAACAGAAGTTCCACCGTTTCACCATTAAAATAAAATTAATCAAAAAACACCCTCCTACAGATGTAAAGGAGAACAAAAGTAACGCAGTGACTTACAGTGATACAAGAAAGGGATGTAAATAATGTATTTCTGTCAAAGAGGCCTATCTGCTGTAGTGAAACAAGTGATCTGAAGAACAGGGATCATCTAAGTGGACTGAAACAGTCCCTGACTTTTTCTGTGCCCTAACTAACCTCCACAAGAGGGGGAAAAAACACTGGGTGGAGGGGGATACAAGGGAAAACTAGTGTGAATTAGGCAATGCAGAAGACATTGTAAGGCTGGATAGCACTTCCTATTGTACTTGTGTGTCATTTATCTAAGAAATGTCAGTTGAAATAACACTGAAGACCACTGTCACCAGTGACTTTTTAGGATCTGGTTTTGCCCCAGCCAGCAGTTATAAGATGTAGCCACGATTTACAGAACTGTGCTCTCAGAAGATACTGTTATCACGCAATAAACATTAAGAAGCTTGTGAAATACAAAGATACAATGTTGAAACTTACAGTATTTAACAAAATCCTTCTGAAAATCTTTCCTGGAGTTGACAAAGGCTCTTCCTCTCTCAGTTCCAACTACAAACACGTCTGTTTCATATACAGCAATACAGGCAACTTCTGCCTTGGACTTGGCAAGTTCTTTGCACTGTAAAAAGAAAAAACAAAAACTGTTTATTATTATAAAGTATAGTCAATAGAACATATGTGGAATCATTTAAAACAGTTACTAGTTCTGCTGCCAGCATTCACCTCTCAGAAGACGCTGCAAGTAACATCACATCAACCATCAGCAAAGGATAACTTACACGTCTGGAGTACTTTTCACAAGGAATCTGAAAAGCACTGCAGATCCATCAGTGAAATTCAGGCCTCATCTAGACCCAGAGATTACACTGTTTTTAATTAAAATGATTTAGTCTATCCCTTGGAAATTATTACTTCACCATTGGACAATCATATGGTCTTATACCAACTCCAGCATTCAGCAGAGCGTACAGGAGTCTTGTTCTTTCACAGCACAACTAACACGAGTTGAGCTGGTTGGAAAGGTGTAATTGCAAGCAGGAAGGGCTGCTCAGTCGCTGCCCTGCTGGCTGTGCTCTGGGTCAGGTGGATTCCTCCAGAGGAAGGGAAAGAGCACACCCTCCCTGCACATGTGTAGGTGAGAAACTGCTGGCAAGGAAGTCAGGAAACTTGCAGTGCAAGGAGACAGCAAGATCCTGAGAAAGTTAGGGTAATCATCAAGAAGTGATCATTAAAAGTCAACTTTTCCTAGGAACTCAGAGTTTGCTATAACCCAGAAAGACACAGTAGGTGCTGCCTGAGATGAAGTGGCAAAACCTTTAGGAGCTGAATATACCCCCTTGGGAAAAAGGGTTTGAAACCAATTCTCTTATACAGATCCCATTCAAAGTTTTATTGCTAAAAAGAAACAAGAAAGACCACACAACAAAAAACAAGACGACTGCTAGCATGAACTTCCACAAGCAAACAGCCACAGGAAGCTGGACAGCACGCACTAAGGAACAGATATAACATCACACTCCAGCTCCCTGGGGTGTAATTACAGCAAGATATTGCTGTAATCTTGCAGGTGCCAAGACAGAGCTGTGCCACAGCTGCTGAGCTCGCCTACTAACCATTGATTCAAGTGCCGACATGAGGAACGTAACCACCATCCTGCTTTCAGAGGGGTCCTCATCGTGGATGGACGCTGCTGGGGCTGTAGCTTGAGCCATTCTCCTCCTATAAAATCAAACACAAAACCTGCTCAGATACACACAGCTGTGCAAGAAATCTGAGCCCTCCCTCATGCAAGAGAAGAAATAAATAAATAAATAAATATACACACATGTATATATATATATATTCCAAGACCCAGAACAGCCCCCATGAGCAAATATGCAGGTAAAGTAACAGGATCAAGTGTTTGCTCTTGTTTTTACACTTTCTGCTGTTTCATCCGAAGCGGAAGCTGAACATTTCACAGTTAAAATGCTGTGCCATGCTCAGACCAAACAGCCTCTGTGCCTAGAAAGATACTTATTAATTGATTGGACTGCTAGAGTTACAGATGTGCTTAGAGAGAAAAATCAATGTAAATTCAAATAGCCAGAGATGAAAAACATTGGAATTAATGGTGTGACAACAGGAATGACAAAAACAAACAAACAAACAACACAGTTGTGGTACAGGTATTCGAACCCCCCTGTAACTTTCAGTACAAATTTATCACTGCCTGACTCAAAAAAAAAAACAAAAAAAAAAACTCCCAAAATCACAGCCTCAAACTACAGTGTCAGCAACCAGAACAGGACATTTTATCTGCGTATTCATCAGCTGCAGGATTAATGTCACAGCTATGAAGTCCCAATTAAGGTGCTAAAATTAAAAACCAGACTTCAGGAGTGACAACAAAGATTTAAACCTATTTTATGTACAGCAGTCAGGACTTTCAGCTTAGCTGAGTGCTAATCAGGACTTGTTTCTGCTTTTGCTGGCAGAACTGTCTATAGACAGCAATGAATATATTGAGCAGGAAGTTTTGACAGCTGCTAAGAGCACATTTCTCTGTTGGAATGGTGCAACCGCTGTTTACATGGACCTAATGCAATAAGCCGACATGCCTGCAGGAGGAGAGAATCGCAGAGATGGAGCTGCTCAGCTCCACGCACCTTGAGAAAATCACCTAGAAGCCCAGGTGAGATAAACGAGACGTTTCACAAGAGGCTGGCAGCACCTTGCTGCTCCCGCAGAACCTGGGCTCGCAGCACGGCTCGGGTCCTCCAGGGTGATGTGTGTGCTGAGAAGTGTGCAGGCACGTCAGGGCAGCGCGAATAACAACCACTGCAGGTGGTAAATATGCGCACACAGTGGGAGAAGGGCACCGAGCTGCTCCTTTGAGAGGACTTAAGGCACTTCAGAACTGAAATTACAGGGTAGGGGACCCTGCAGCACCAACAGCACAAGGTAACAGGTTGGAGTAGGCGATCTTGGAGGTCTCTTCTAACCTAAATGATTTTGTGATCCCAGCAGACATGCAGCAGCCCCCCAGCTCTCCAGACTGTCCCAGCGGGGCTTGGGACACAGAGGCAGAGGGATTACCGCCTGCCAGAGGAGGGGGAGATGCTGAGGGATGGCCTAGGGACTGTCAGAGGTGAAAGGGAGATGGATGTGACATTAAAATCCATCTTCACTGAGTTTGGGATCCAACGGAGTTCCCAAGCTCATCTTTGGAACTCTTTGGGGTTAGCATGTCAATGGGATTTTGTACACCGTGGCAGATTTTTGATGATGTAGGAGCAATCCAATATAAAAGATGAAGCAGAACACAAGCCTGCATTTCCCTTCTCCCACGTCCACCCGCAGCCTGATGGAGTTGTTCTGGTCACTGCCACCCCCTAAGGCAGCAGGGGCACGGACACACGCACCCACCCCATCCTGCACGGGAGAACTCAGGCTGTGCACAACCAAGGGCAAGCGCCTTCCTGCTCTGCACAGGCACCTGCTCCAGAAGAGAGGCCAAAGAAGTTCCTGGGATTGCTCCTGGTCCGCAGCCACGCAGGAGGATGCTGATTACTGCATTTACACGGAGCAGGCTGTGGTCCAGAACCTGTAACGAACCTGAACCTGGCTGCGTTTCCAAGCTTGGATCCTCCAGGCACCCCGTGCAAATGCTTTGGGGTTGGTACTGAGCAAGGTGTTGCACGTGTACGACACAAAAAGGCAGATTTAGACATCATTTGAGCGGCCAGGAGCTGGCTGCCAGAGTACTCCTATGTAATGCATCTATTAATCATGTATTACTAGCTGGTCTGGAAGATTTTTTTTAATATGGGTATAATTGCCCATAAATCCTTTGGCTTTGCCGTGCCAAGATGAGCCCCTGTCCAAATCAAGGCTTGTAAAAATGAGCAAATCATTACAAGACACTGGTAGAGTACCACGGATCAGCATTTAACCATTCCTGCCCAATGAGAGGGTCACTGGGACAGAGCAAATAAAGCCGTGTTTCCATTTCACCAGGAAAAAGACAGAGCAAACCCAGCAGCTTCCAGGAAGCCAAATCAAACCAACACGCATCCCACTCCATGTGCTTCCTGCTGGCTTCTACTTTTGAGAGCCAAAAATTAGAAATACTCAGGGCAAGAAAGAGCGAAACCGCAAGCCAGTTTCCATCTTCCCTGTGCTCACACAAAGGCACACGTGCCAATCCTGTTACAGCCACCAGTAAGGGATACTCTGTTAGCTGCTTGCCAGACACACAGAAAACTACAAAAACAAAGTTGAGCTTTATGAAGAAAAATTGTTATTTAGGGATATAAAGAATAGATACGGAGAATAATGGAAATACAAGCCCAGAGTTGCTTTTCTTAGAAGCAAAGCCTTAACAACAGAGAAGTGGTTTTCCTTTTCAGCAGACACAATGCACGTGGATATTCCCACAGCGATCTGCGTGTTGTTTGCTGCTCTCACTGGCTCTTACTGATCGTATCCCCTGGCTTCTCTGCCTTCTGGGCCAAGACGTGACCGCAGCACGCCGACCTGCCCCGACCCCAGCCTGCAGGGGCAGGGCAGAAGGTTCTGCCTCCCAGCTGCACACATTGATGCTCGCAAGCTATGAAGTGCAAGTGAATCTTGTTAAAAAGAACTTATCCCACCCCCCAAAAAAAAAAAAATCTGGTATTTTTCTCCGCAATATGGTTCGGTGATCCTGAAACTTACCTTTCAGAAAAAGTCAAGCCTGGTGTTCCTGAGATAACCTAGCAAAGAAGCAGTAAGGGCATTTGGAGTCGTTAGGAAACCACTGCCATCAGGCTCCGTTCTGTGTTAGAGCCAGGCCCAGGAGCGGTTCATTTTGTCTTTAGGTGTGCAGTGTCCCACAGCAGCACCCAGGTGCTCATGAATTACAGCTAAGCCATGTAAACAGCATGAAATATTAATCACAGCAGGCCTGACCACCTGATAACTCCTCTCTTCACCCATTTAATTGTACTTCGCCAAGCATGACGATGATGCCAAATAACTGCTGCTGCTTTATCTCCCTGTGTCCACCAACAGCAACACCACATAACGTCTGAGATGTTCACGTTGGTCTGAACCCCAACAGCATCGATCTCATTATAACAGAGGTGCTGGCACATCTGAAGAGAGTGAGAAGCTCACTGCAGCAGGCTGGCCTGGGGATTTCTGTGTTGCACTGTCAACAAAAGCCCCAAAATAACTTCAGGGCAAACCAAAAACCGCTTTAACTCTTTTAGGATTCCCACAAAGAGTTATCCAACACGACACATCCAGCTGGGCTATAACACCTTGTAAGGAGCTAGAATTAGTTGGCAGCAGCATGTGAAGCTCACCATCACACAGCAACGAGTCCCTGCATTTGGCCATCAGCTCCAACTGCATCCTCCCCTTTGTTCCCATTACTGCACGTAACCCAACACCACTTTCCATGGGACAGATCCCATTCACCCTTCCCCTAAACAAAGCACGTGTGCCAACGCTGCTGGCAACCTCTCCTCGCCTTGCTCAGAGGCTCTGAGCGCAGGAACACAGGGCAGAGCCACGGGGAAGAGCTGGGGAACGCCACCAGCTTTGGGGTGGCTCCCCCAGTGCAGCCCCAGCCCCAGCCCCATTCATTGCCCTGCCTCATTTGCATGCCCCGCCCCCACACCTGCTGGGCCCCGCCCCTCGCCTCATTTGCATCCCCCCCGCCCTCGCCCAATCACCACCGCCCCTCGCGCAGCCCCGGCACGTGCGCGCCCCCCCGCCAGCCAATGGCGGGTCCCCAGGGAGGGGGGGGGGGCAGGGCGCGAGGCTCCGCCCCCAGCAGCGGCGCTGAGGGGGGCGCTGAGGGGGGCGGGCGGAGGCCGCGGCCCCTCCCGGCAGCGCCCGGTGCCCCCGCGGGCAGGGGGCGGCCTCTCCCCGCTCTCCCCGCGGCCCCTCAGCCCCCCGCACGCCGCCCCGAGCCCTTCGCCGCCCGCCCGCCCCCTCGCTCTGGGGCTCTCACCGCTGCCGGGCTCGGGCAGCCCCGCTCCTGCTGCCGGTCCCGGTCCCGCCGGCTGGGAGCCAGGAGGCGGAGGCCAGCGGCCGGGTGTCCCCGGGGGGTGGTGGCGGCGGCGGCGGCGAGGCGCTGGCCCCGCGCGTCCCCCTCACGGTGTCGGGCTGAGCCCAGCGCCGCTCCGGGGGAGGGGAGCGGAGAGGAGAAAGGGGGGGGGGGGGGCGCTGGTTTTTTTGTTCCACTCGCCCACGCTGCGCATGCGCAGGCCGCGCGGGGGCCGCTGGGAGTTGTAGTTTTTCCATGTGGGTTTTTCCTATCACAGCGCAGGGCGGGGGGCACGGCGGTGGACTACAGCTCCCGGCGTGCCCCGCGCCGCGAGGGCCGGCCCGACCCCAGCGCCCACAGGGGGAGCGCGGCCCCGGCCGCTCGGGCAGCGCGGAGGGGTCTGGGGGGAAGATGGCGGGGGGGGGGGGCCCGGCCCCTCAGGGCAGCCCCGCTGCCAGCTTCTACCTCAGGCTCTCCTAAACGCCGGCGTTTTGGTCACCTTCTTGTAATAAACACGGCTGTTGTGTGTATAAAGCTGGCAGCACTCTGCAAACGCTCACACTGCTGGTGGTGGCTGGGCACGAGCAGCCCCAAACCCTCACAAACCCTCACATTTTGGGATGTCGCCAGCCCGTTATGGCGGCAGGCAGCGCACAGCAGCGGCCTGACAGCAACAAAAAAATCACAGCCCACAAGCAAAACCACCGCTTTCATCGCCACCTGAACCCAAACCTGGAGGTTTTGCCCTGCGGCACTGGGGTGGTTCCTCTCTCCAGCTCTTGAGCAGGGAAGGGCATAACCACCAGTGAAGGACTGTAATCGTGAGGGCAGGAATAACTGCCTCAACTGCCACAACTATTTTCTGAGGGAATGCATCAGCTCCCTTTCCACGTGCAATGTCCTTGTTAGAGGTAGCCATCACTCCAGCCTGAGAGCATGCTGGCGTCTCAGCCGTACCGCACTACACGCACAGCCCTGACCCGTGAGGAGACACGGGGCCGTGGCTCGTTTGCCTCTGTGCAAGGTTTGCTTCACCCTGATGCTGGCAACTTTGCCCTGAAAGAGGGCAGAGTAACAGGGACTTGCTCAGCAGCCCAGCTGCAGGCAGTACCGTACACCTGGGCACTGAGCTATTTTAGCTAACACAGGAGATTTTTGACAGGTAACACCTCATTTCATACAGATTTAGATGTCCTAAGAGGTCCCTTCCAACCTCAACTATTCCGTGATTATGGAAGCAATAGCTGGCAGCTGCTGCCCACCTGGCTCACTGGCTACCACATGGCCCCTCACAGGAGTGGGAATTGGGTATTTCTCAGGGACAGGATCCTTCCCCCTCCTCCCTATCCGTCTGTACCACCTGAACCAGCCACATGTGCTGTGGGGCTGGGCACCCTTCAGGAAAAGAGGGATGCATAATGAGAATTGAGTCATGCTTTATTTGGAATAATGTTTACCCATTGTGGTTACAAGCCAGCTAACTGAAAAATTAGTTCCTTAAGGCTTCTATATCCATCAGAGACATTCGCTGGATGTTGTAAATCAATGCTCAGAGTAGGAATATCTTGTGTGTTTTAGTAGCTACAGTAATTAACAACTGCAACTTATTACCATGGACCGCAAGAATTTCTCCATCAATTCAGACCCTGGAAATCCAAGCAGCTTCCTTCTGAAAAAAGACATTGAACTCAATGCACAGCCTCCATGCATTTGTAACAGCAGATTCCTGAATTGATAGTTATATAGAAACATCTGACTGGTTCATCTCGATATACTTCCCAGGCTTAAAATTCAAAGGGCAGTCTTCTGGCAGAAAATACTTTGGTCTAAATTCCTTGGTTTAAAGCATTTTGTATCACTTTGCTTTTCCCTCTACTAGTTAACCAGCTGAGCTTCAACTACAGATTGACCAAGATTTTCACACAGCAAGGCAAGAAAGACATTTCTCTTAAACAGGGCAGCCAGACTGTAAAAACAAACTGTTAGAAAAGAAGGGTAGAATCCAGAGTTATTTTAATCATAAAATAAAATAAAAAATAATAAAAATCCTACTTCAAGTTCCTAGTCTCCTTCTGAAAATAATTTGAGACCAATACATACAGTTTTAGTTTGGTTGATTTTATTTTATTTTTAAACTTATTCATTAGTTTTGGAAATCATTCTGTTTCATCCCCAGAAACATGTATTATTCTCTTTAACACTCAAAAGAGTTAGGCTGTCTTTATCAGCAGGCTTTGCTTCAACACACACAGTGAGCTACAAATTGAACCTCCAGCTAGGCAGAGCGTAGGGGATTTCAGTCAGCTCACACTTCAGATTTCTATGGGTAAATCTAAATATTCCTGACAACTTACATCTTAACAACTAGCACCTGAGAGCGAAAACCTTTGTGTGTGCCTGTTGAAACTACTGAGTCCTTAAAACCTGGTGGAGGTGTGATGGCGAGCAAAGCCAGCCAGATCCTCACTGCTCCCCAAAGAGCTGCTTCTCCAGGCAGACGCATCTTGCCCTGCACAACTTCTTGGGGGCTTGTTACAGATTTGATCCCAACTCTTTCCCCAGGTATTGCCATTTATTTGCCTTGGGTTATCAGCTGGGGTGTTTTGCCATCTTTCTCTCCAAACAGCTTTGTTTCAGGATTCCCAGCATAAACTTTAGGCAGGGGAGAGGAGGGAGGCAGCCCCAGTGCATCAGGGAACAAAACCAGCGCAGAGTTACGTTGTCTTTTATACTCTGTGCAGAAGCTCAGTTCAGTGTCAGGCAGTCCCTGAGAGCACAGGGTTCAGAGCTCCCTGCTGTGCAGTGCTTCTGTTACATCTAGATGCGATGTCTTTTCTTCTCCCAAGTTATTATTTTTTTTAAATTTCAATTCCAAAACCACCATGGCTCCACAACAGCCAAAACCAGCAACATACTCTCAATTTGAGAACACCGGTGCAGGATGGACCAGGATGGGGCCACGTTGCTGCAGCCTACACCTCTGTGGAGCAGAGCTCCAGGCACGCTCATCCCGTGTGCCTTTACTCATTTTCCTTTGCTCCAGTTGGCTCGATTCCCTCTCAGCTTTCTTTCACTGAGCTTTTCCTCTGTTAAACAGTAAGGACATCCTGTATTTTCACTTGGAACATGGTGTGCACGATAAGGCTGGTGAACACATGGGCAGTACAAATATTTGGATGGTGAGAGCTCAGCTGGTTTTCTCCGATCACTTGCTGCTCTGCCCTCGGTTAGGGATGCTCTGGGACATTCAGCAAGGATGGGGCAGTGAGCCCCAACTCCAGGGTGCTCCTGGTCACCCCCCTCCACCACACCTGCCTTGCTGTCCCCTCCAAAGTGATGACCTTAACTCAGGAGCCTCCCATTGCCATTGGTTTTAATGTCTCTATAAAGCCCACCAAGCAGGCAGGAATCCTGCACTGGCTCTTGTGCCGCAGTTTTTCCAAAGAAGGAAGCATTTTAAAATCATTTGCCTTTTGTGACAGAGGATTATGGTGATAGTAAATACGCACTGCTCTAAATATCAGCATTAACAACAACAGCAAAAACTAACTCACACAAAAATAACCAAACTTGACACATCATCTGAAACTGCAGGTGCCAGCAATAGGTCCTGGGGACTTCTAAACGCATCTCCTTCAAGCACAAAAGCAGTTACTTCTTAGGAAATACACGCCAGATCCGTGCAATGAGATGCTTGGATGAGCACAGCAGTAAATGTGAACATCGCGTGGTTGTGCCTCATATTCAGCTGCTCCCGCAAACTTATTGAGACAAAATTACCTTTTTTTCCCCCCCCCGTTATTAGGAGGAAATTAGATTGGGAGTTTGCCAGCAAGGCTTTATCATCTGAGGTTGTTTTTTTGTTTTGTTTTGCTTTTTGTTTCCTCCTCCTTGCTCCTCACCAAGCCACCTTTGCCAGCAGAATCACGAAGCCTAGCCCAAGCTGCTGACAAACAGACCCACAATTTTCTCCTACATGTCTGCATGTCTGATACAAATACCCGCAAGCTGGAATAGGGATTCTTGAACTTGTTTGCTCTAACGGAAGGAAGACCTTTCTAATGACCTACATTTCTAGGAAAAGGGACTTCAGGAGCTTCCTGAAATACATATATTTATGTATACACACTTATACCAAAGCCAAATAACAACAAAACCAACAAACAACTTCAGGAGCCACGTGCCTCCAGTTTGTTATTTCAGCCCTTCTTCCCCACACATGTTCCTGCGTTAGAAGCTCACAGGGATGGGGGTGGCAGCCTGGCTGCCACCAGGGTCACCTCTTGGGCTCCCTGACACCTCGGTAGTGCTGCTCTACCTGGGCCTTCT